CTTATGTATTAAAATGTCTATTTAATACATAGATATATTATATATTATATATATTATTTTAAATAGGCGGGCCAGCCCTCGTCCCGCTAGGCCCACCCCGCCAAAGCCCGCGGCCCGCGCGGGCTAGCCCGTTTAGGCCCGCTCCCTATCGGACCTCAAATAACTCAGCCCGGCCCCCTCTTTTTGCGGGGCAGGACGGGCTGGCCCGCGGGCCAAAGCCCGTTTTGACAAGTCTATTCGTCTCGTCCACTAACGGAAGAATTACAAGATTTATACGGGCGAATTGTCGACTGTGCGACCGAGTGCCGCCCCGTCCCAAGCAGCAGCCGGTACATCGACTGGTCCAGCTCCAGCGGCATCTCATGACGCCGTCGGCGATGACATCGAGGCCGACGAGCGACCTGATCATGAGGATTATCAGCTTCCCCTAGCGATGGATGAGCACTCGACTACATTTTCCCTGCAGGCCCCCGTTTGGTTCTCCAAGTACCAGGCTCGGAATGATGAGCAGCTGAGGTCGATCCATTTTGCCGTGATGTCACACAATGTAAGGCTCGAGTTATACATCGAGCAAAACGATGCACATTGGAAGACCTTTGTTGAGTCCAACGATGAACATTGGACGGAGCAGAACCGTCGGTGGGATGACTTCCTCCGAACTACTGAGGAGTACTGGACAGCTCACGATAAGCGCTGGGACACCTAGGAGGCTAGGAAGTTTCGGCAGTGGAATGCGTGGGACAACCAGTTCGACCAATGGAATACCCGTTGGTGTGCGGGTAGCAGCCACCCTCCACCGCCACCACCACACACACAGTGACTTGTCACTATGCTTTGTACGTTTTTCTTTCTCTTTCTCATTTGTTTTTGTATGGTGTGTTTTGTTTGAGTCAATTAATTATGTGGGGCAGCTCTCTTTCATTGAAGATCGACAATGGGGACATTGTCTGATTTTAAGTGTGCGGGAGTTTTTGTATGCTTATGTGGCTACTTGGTTGACCAGGTCTAGTTTTTGGTTTTAGGTTGTTTTTTATTTCTTTCTCTTGCTAGGTGGACCGGTCTAGTATTTAGGTTTTTCTTTTGTTTTCTGAGTTTGGACATTGGTGTATTGTAAGACTAGTTAATAATTGTTGATTGAGTAGAGGAGTTGTGATGATGAGCATATATGACATATCTTGATTAATTGGCTTGGTCGTTTTGAGGAACAATTATTTACCTTGTGAGGTTTGAGCCTATATCATTTCTTGTGAGACATTGGTCGGAGTACTTGTCAATTAGAATTTGACTTGAGTCTACTTTGAAATGAATTGATTGGATTTGTGAACGTGAACATGATTGAGGCATTCCTTGTATTTTCTTTCCCTTTTCTTTCCGAAAATAACAGTCACTAGTCACCCCCTTCGAGCCTTATTTTATTTTTATTGATAACCTCGTGATGATGACATTGAAGAGTTGCAGGTTGAGAATTGGAGGTGATGGTTGATTGAGTTGTGAATATTTTCAGAATGGATTATACTCTAAGTGCTCTGTCCACTACTCTAGTGGATGCGAGCAATGAGTATAGGAAACTGGTCTAGGAGACTCGGGGAGGAAACCCGAAGGTTAAACCTAGATAAATTGTCCAAAATGTTTTTTTTTTTTAAAAAAGGGAATAATATGCTTGGAAAGTGTGTTGGTTTTGGAGTTAGTGGGAGGAACTGGTTGGCGTTGACAACCGGAAGAGTTCATGATCATGGTTACGTGATTGAGTTGAGTTGATCTATATTGAGCCACTTAGCCTATATTTATCCTACCCGATCCAAAGAGCCTACTTTACATCCCTTAAAGTTTTGTTGATTCACTGTTTCATTAATTAGAATGTTGTAGAGTAAAGGTTAGACAATAGGCAAACTTGAAGGTTGGGTCACCACATTAGCCGTCATCGGCCTCCGCCCAAGCTTCACGCGGGTCGGTCGAGGTTTCTGCTTCAACGCATGCTACCGCGCCTCCAGCCCTCACCATCTATCTCCCCCTCCTCTGCCACCGATATCGTCTCAGCCGTCGGTCTCCTCAAGGGCGTGAAATTCTCAGCCGTTTTCGTCGTTTGTCGGTAGAATTATGGAAGAATTGTTGGAATGGAAGAATTATGGCTATTACATATTGTGCAATTTCTGTTTTGTGTTATGGAGGTAATTTGTTTGTTTTTATATTGTTATGTGTGTTTTCTTATTTCTGTTTATGTTTTGGAATGAAAGTATTGTTCATGAGTATATATACACAACCATTCACACATCATGTAAAAACATGTTACTACATTCTAAATAAAGTCATGAGCACACAACTAATGCAAAAGAGTTTGAACAACCAAAATTGTGCTTGATTTAATTGTTCAACACACATCACATTAGCATTAACTTTACAATCATTAGCATTAACATTACAACCAAAAGAGTTTGAACACTACCTAATGCAAAAGAGATCCACAAATCTAAAATCTTAGAGAACACTACAACATGGAATATATGATCACCCAAGAGATCAGAATCACAATCCATAGCCAACGCTCACGAGCACTTTTCCTCTTCAAACAAAATCCAACCTCTTTCAAATCTGATTGAAGTTTCTTCACATCAGATTGAAGTTTCTTCACATCAGCTTCTAACCTCATCACGTCTACTTCAAGAAATTGAGCTTCACTTTCAAATTTGTTGGCACGTCCCAAAAAGCCATGAATGATTTCACAAGCTCTAGGGCACAAAGGTGGGTCAATCCACGAAAAATATACACAACCACCATCATGCTACAAAAATTCAGTTAAAGAAACAAATTAATTTCAGGAGATCTGGAGTTTATTGAATTTGCCCAATTTTTGGAATTAGGGTTCACTGAAATTGTGCAAATTCATAAATTAGGGTTAATCTAGTTAATACCTTACCTGATTTTTTGCGCAATTACCATATCTCTTTCCTGGATTTTGAACACTCCACAATGTTTTCGTAACAATATTTTTACCACATTGACATAGTTGACCCATCGCCTCCGTTTGTCTCCAAGCCATTTTTATTTTCGACACCAACCTGCGAAGAAGAAAAATGAAGAAATCAGCGCTCGATTTTTTTATATAAATCTTCTAAGACGATAAAATGACAAAGTTGTCCTTCAAATGTAATGAAAAATGGAAAATTTACCCTCAAGTTTCGAGCGTGTGCGTCGCACGTTCGCTTTTCTGGTGGAAAACGAGCCGCCGATGGACGGAGGTTGCAATACAGGCAAACTCGTGTATTAAAGGTTGCAATTTAATACAAAATATTCTTTAGGTTGCAAAATTCAAAAACTCGCATAGTACAGGTTGCAAATAATTATTTACCCCATAAATGTTTTATGCGTCAACAATGAAATATTGCAGTGAATTGTGTATGTGAGTGTATGTGTATGTGTGTGTGAAGAACAAGACAGAGTCATAATTAATATCTCTTGTATTAATAATGGAAAATTAATTAGTAAAATCAAAACAATTGAAGATGTGTTATAAGTCCTACTCGGGAAGCAAAATAGAAAGTAATGAATTTAGCTCGAGTGTTATATGTCCTACAGTTATTAACTTGGAGTTTCATCTTCCCGGAATATCAAAATTGAAATCAGGCCTATAAAAGGATAATTACCAAGTATTCCCTAAAGAGTGCTAGAAATGAATGAGTAAAGAGAATCTATAACAATTTTCCACAACATTATGTATGAGACAAAAAAATAAATATTGGTTTAAAAGAATATAAAGAGAACTTATATTTCGTCTTAACATGAGATCAGAGAACAATCATATTTAGTGAAATGTTACTTAGAGATTGAAATTGTGAGAAGCCAATTGGCACAAAAGCTTGAATATTTTTAGACAGATGATCGTTAATTAGGACATTTAAATTGAATATAACCCAATGTTTTGACTTATATGTTAGTATTTTGTTTTCTCAGTTATCTTGTATCATGTATAAAAAAGATAATTTAATGTGGTCCACATGTTCATATTTATAAAGAGTACTAATACTGTTAATCACCTATTAATTCTATGATGTACAGAATTAATAAGTAGATATTGTACCTTTCTATCAAAAGGTACCATATACCAATAGGTACCATATATCAAAAGGTACCTTTCTGCCAAAGGTACCATCGGTTTTAAAAGGTCCCTAGGCTCATCATTTTGTAACTACTGAATCTAACACCATCTAAAGAAAAAGTGAAAGGGATCTAGAAGATCCTAACCAAATAAAAATGAACGTGCAGAAGCCTTCACCGTTGTCTTCTACAAGTTCTTCAAATAACTCAAACATACACAAGCAATGGCTGGAGGTATGTAATCTCGATCATTCCGCTGCACCAATATATGATTAAATCGGATAAATACTCTTACATTTGGTATCAGAGCATAGTTTAATATCTGTCTTGCTTGTGTTATGTATCTTTCAAATATGAGTTACTATTCCATGAAATTGTGATATTAAAATTTTGAAAAATTTAATTTGTTCATGGAGAATTCTTTTGGAATTTTGATATGGAATATGATATTTTTCCATGAATATATGGGATATTTCATGAATGAAATATGTTGTTCTTTTTGGACTCTTTAATGATATTATTTGGACTGAGTTTATCCCGTACTGTTGCCTGGGAGAATATTTAAAAATGCCTATCTCATCGTTCTACCATCATGTTGTCTTTGTTCAATATTATGAATTATTATTTAATTTATTGTTCAATGCGAATTGATTGGCATGTGTTATAATTCTTTTAATATTAAAATTTTGGTTGAGTATTATTATATGATTAATATGTTTATGCTTGAATTATTTGTATGCTTTAAATAAATCATGCATGCAATAAAATTATGTTATCAAGCATGTTACAAATATTAATCTTGATAGCTTAAGCATAGATAATTGTTTATAGATTTACAATTATAAGAGTTAGTATTTTATGTTATGTGGTGTGTATAATTTTAATTAATTAAGGAGTAGCCACAACATCCTTATTTGGTTGGAATTATATATAAATTTTGTTGGTAACCACATATGGATATATAACATAAGTTGTGATTTTTCATATAAAATATGGTGGATCTTATCCCACAGAAATTTCTACTATATTTGTGTGATTAATTAGGATAAAATATTAAATTAATTTTCTAATTTGCCCACAGGGATTAGAAAATGGTAGTAATTTGATAGTTTTATCATGAAGTTCGTAAATCTAATTGAATTAGAACTTTAGCCCACATGCAAGTTTTATGTCTCTAGATTTATGTTTAGACGTGTTTTATATTGATATAACATGTCATTTTATTTCTTAGTTTCAAATTTTGTGAATATGAGCATGATTATTGTATATGTTGCAGTTATTCAACCTGTTAATCACTCTGATATGAAAATTGATGTTCCTGAGCTCAATGGGGACAATTCTAAAATTTGGAAGGAGAAAACACTTCTTCATTTGGGGTGTATAGACATTGACTATGCCATTAGGAAGGACGAACCGACTGCTATAACTGATAAAAGCACCCCAATAGAAGTGGTTCTTTATGAAAGCTGGGAACGATCTAATCATCTCTGTGTGTTATAAACACCAAAATTTCAGCTGGGATCGGGGGTTCAGTCGAGCAATGTGACAATGTTCGTGTCTTACTGAAGGCAATTGATGATCAGTTTGTGTCTTCTAACAAGGCATTGGCCAGTA